AGACCATGCACAGAGTGCTGATGCAAATTTCTGCTCATAGTCATACTGCCCTTAGTGTAGGGAGATCAGCAACCAATTTATTAACAAAACTGCTAATTACTAATTACAATGATCAGATAATAACTATTTGCAAATGCACAGAAAAATAATTACCTTTATTTTTATTGATACCCTTATTATCCATACATTATCCATATACCTCTCAAAATCCATGTCTAATCCATATTCCCATCTCTTCTTTTCTTATTAGTTCTTCATGTTAAGTGGGTAAGAGATGGGTACCATTTGTCCATGGATGGTGAAGAGCCCGGATGGTGAATAGTCATGGTAAGGGAGTACAAGAGAAAGGCAGTTTAAATACCAGCTCCTCTCATTGCAATGCACATCAAGATTCTCTGATACATTAGGACTTGCGACTATCCAGCAGCTAGCACAATCAGGCAGGATGTTCTTTTCATACATTCCAGTTGCAGTTGCTATGGCAAAAACTTAGAAAGCAAGTTTTATTGCTTTACCTTCAAGATTCTTATAGGCAAATTGTAAACAAAACATGATCGGTAGAAGCTCTAGGCCACAAAACATGGGACTGGAAGCTCAGGTCAGTATTTTTGAATACATATATCTACTGGCTATTGGTAGTTAAAACAGCTTACCTATTTCTACCAGCATTGTGCAAGCTGGTTGCCAAGTTGTTGCAGTAATAGGACCCCAAAGTAAACATACAGCAACACAAAGTGTTTAACTGTTTTACCTTAGACACTATAGCATATTTAACCCCTTAACGCCGTTACGTCGTTCTATGCTGTCCCGCATTAAGTGAGCTTTAAAGCCGTTGCGGCAGCATAGAACGCCGTAATGGCTTTGAGCCCCTGGAGGTCCGGCGTACTTACCTCCGCCGCGATCCTCTTCTGGAGGGTTGCCTGACAGCCCAGGCAGCCCTCCCCTGGCAAATGAGGTCCCCGGGGGCCATGTGATCGCTTTCAAAGAGCGATCACATGGCCCCCTATAGCTGGCTGTGGATCTACCAGCAGGGTGACTGTCTGAAATGTCAGACAGTCCCCCTGCTGGTGGGAAAGTAAAAAAAAAAAAGAATTAAACATGTGTCAAATTAAAATAAATGTATTTTTATATATATAATATATGTATATCTATTATATATATATATATATATATATATATATATGTAATATATATATATATGTAACGTCATACAAAGTGTATTTTAATATTAATATAAGTACATATATTAGTATTAAAATACACTTAGAATGACGTTACATATATATAATATGTACATATTATATATATAGAATAGACATATAAACATATATTATATATACGTATAATTACAATAATAAATAAATAAAATAATAAAATAAATAAATAAAATATTGAAACTAAATTTAATATAAATTATATATTCATATGTCATTTCATTCTAACTGTATTTTGTTATTAATATATATATTTATATATATATTAATAACAAAATACAGTTAGAATGAAATGACATATGAATATATAATTTATATATAGATAAATACATATAATTACATAAAAGATTACATTAGAATACACGTAGAATTTAAATACCTATAAATGCATATATATTAAAATTCTATGTGTATATTTAAGTAATCTTTTAACATAATTATGTGATTTGATTAATTAAAATTTGATTGACGTGCCTGACAACACAGGGAGAGAGAGAATTTAAGTGCAGAGAATTTAATTCGCAAGCACTATATTTGACCCTTTAACGCTCCAAGACACCATAAAACCTGTACATCTGTTATGGGCAAATGCAAATATTAAAAGTTTTAGAATGAAATGTTGTATTTCTTAAACTGTGTACTTTGTCTTTAAGAGATATTGCAAACTGACAAGGTGTTAGAAATGGAACATATTGCTTTTCATAACTGTTTCTTTAAGCAATAACCTCAGTGCATAATATATTTGCGCCATTTTGTCCCAGACGAATTACAATAACAATAATGCATAAACAAGCTTCAAGGCTATACTACGACTCTTGCAGTACACAATATACTGTGGTAACCCCAAGTTAATGTAACTTCCCCAAATCCGGGAATCTCCCACGACTGTACACTTACGACTTAGTATAAACAACAGATAACCTATTCAGGCTTTAAGATGCCATCTTGAACTAAGTCAGGAAAATTTCCATGACGTATACACCCTTTAGTTATGGCCTTGTATGTTTGCCAAATTAAGGGAGGTCCTAAATTGAATAAAGTAAAAGAAGTGTTACTTTTTCATATTTGAACTACAGTAACCTAAAATGGAGACACCTAAGGTATAAATAGGTGTACTTTTAAATGTTAAGACACAGAGGAGAGACTTGGAGACAGACGCTGCTCATTGGCGTCTCTAGGATTCATTTTTCGGGGGGGCACATGGAGGGCCAGTGACAAAAGTAGGGGGGCACATTTAACCCCGCCCTCGTCGCAGTTTGACCCCGCCCCTGTTGCATGTTAAGCCACGCCCCCGACACAATGTGTTTTGTTTTTTTAATAATACCCGGTGGAGGATTCATTATTTTCCACCAGGGATTATTTAAAAAACAAACACATTATCCTTGATACAATGCCATAGTTGCCAACATCTAAAAAAAAATTTCCAAGGACCTTTTGCAGCACAGCTATCAGTTACTGTCTGGGTATAATATCCCTGGACAGTCAGTGCTCTCTGTATAATACAGGGTTGTGTAAATTGGGACACTCAGTGCTCCCTGTATAGTGCTGCTCTCTGTATAATACAGGTCTGTTTGTGTATAATATCCCAAGACAGAGAGCAGCACTATACAGGAAGCACTGACTATCCCAGGATATTTTATACACACAGATCTGTATTATACAGATAGCTGAGCATATACCCCAATCTCTAGACTACTAGTACCTGTCAACAGCAGCTCCCAGAAGCGTGTAACAGGGCTAAAGAGTGCGGCAACTCACAAAGATTATTCAGCGGTAAAGTACACTCGCTGGCAGAGACAAACTGGGAATCCCTGGGAATCCAAAGCAGCCCTGGAAAAAAAATGTATGCCATTCCTACTAGTCAATATATATATATATAGTACAGTAAGCACACAAGCTCACTGACATGCGCAAATAGGCTTACTGACAGGCAAAACTCTCTGACTCACACACAAGCTTACTACAGACACTCACTTGTATAAACAGAAGGCTCACTACAAAGAAGTTCAGGGACACACACACAAGCTCACTAAAGACAAGTTCACTGACACACACATGCTCACTAAAGAGAAGCTCACTGACACACATAAGCAGTACTTAAAGAGAGTTAAGGGCCCCTGGGCAAAGCAATGCACTGGGGCCCTTCCTACACAACAACTCACAGGAATTTTAATTATTGATAGACTGCGGAGTCCATACACACAGAGACTGCTGAGTCCATACACACACACACAGACTGCTGAGTCCATACACACACACAGACTCTGCTGAGTCCATACACACACACAGAATCTGCTGAGTCCATACACACACACATACTGCTGAGTCCATACACACACACAGACTGCTGAGTCCATACACACACACACACACACACAGACTGCTGAGTCCATACACACACACAGATTCTGCTGAGTCTGTACACACACACAGACTGCTGAGTCCATACACACACACAGACTGCTGAGTCCATACACACACACACACACAGATTGCTGAGTCCATACACACACACACTGCTGAGTCCATACACACACACACACAGCCTGCTGAATCCATACACACACACACACAGCCTGCTGAATCCATACACACACACTGCTGAGTCCATACACACAAACACACACAGACTGCTGAGTCCATACACACACACAGATT